TGATTGTAGAGCTGCTAGCCATCATCTTTGAAACTCTGTGGTGATCAGGGGAGGTCCCAGATGATTGGAAAAGGGCAAATATAATGCCCACATTTAAGAAAGGGAAGGAGGATCCAGGGAACTACAGCCTCACCTCAGTCCATAGAAAAATCATAGAGTAGGTCCTCAAAGAATCCATTTCTAAGCACTTGGAGAAGAAGGAAGTGATTAGAAACAGTCAGCATGGACTCACAAAGAGCAAGTCATGCCTGACCAACCTGACTGCCTTCTATGATGTGATGACTGGCTCTGTGGAGGCAGGGAAAGCAGTGGACGTAATATACCTTCACTTTAGCAAGGATTTTGATACCATCTCCCACAGCATTCTTGCAAGCAAACTGAGGAAGTATGGGCTGGGTGAATGGACTGTAAAGTGGATAGAAAGCTAGCTGCATTGTCAAGCTCGATGGGTAGTAATCAACGGCTCAATGTTTAGCTGGCAGCCAGTATCAAGTGGAATGTGTCTGGGGACGGGGCAGGGGTGGGTATGGGCTGCCTGCTGCATCCTCAGGGCTCCCTGCCCTGCTGCCCTCCCCCAGGAGACCTGTACCAGCTGCGCTGCCATGGCAAGGCATCCTCTGCCTGCCCAGCAGCAGCAGGGGCAGAGGAGGCAGGAGAAAATGGAGCTGTGAGCCCCACTGCTGCCAGGGGGCACACCTCACCATGGTGGTGCGGCCGGCACAGGGCTCCAAGGGGGAGGGCAGCAGGGCCAGAATCCCCAAGCCTGCGGCAAGCAGCCCGCATCCACTCCCCTACAGGCACCATTTGGCTCTGTTCCAACTGTGCTGCCAGGAGTGGGAGCCATCATTTTAGCTCCCCCCTGCTCAAAAAAAAAAAAGAATACAAGTCAGTGCCTATGGAATTAGCCCTTAAGGTGATTATTGCGCTGGAGTGCCGATGGGCCAGGAGGGCTCACCTAGTACCTGGGGGGTGAGTCTGAGATCCATGCAGTCAGGGAGGAGCCCATTGATTACAAGCACAGATGAGGGCTAATTTTGTGATTTTAGGACAGCCTCCCTTTCCATGAACTTAAATAATTATAACAAGGGGTGGCAGGTGAGAGGAAGGGAAGGAAACCGAGGGAGAATGCAGGAGCTGCTCTGCCACCAGGGGTTATCACAGCCACTCCTGGGGCCTGATCCTGCTACCCAGAAGAAAGAAAATCCTAGGGGTTCACTGATAAAGATTATGTTGGCCAATATTGATATCTGATTATTAACCAGCCATAATGGCCAGTACCAATCTGATAACCGAGATTTAGTAATTATGCAAGGCATTGTAAACTAGTGACATAAATAAACCTTTATATTTGTTTTACATTTATAACGCACACAAACACACAGATGGATATTTTTTGTGTTCCTACTTCTCGAAACATTTTAGCAAAATAAAAACAAACATACATTAACTTTAAAACTTTTACTTTTAAAACAACAGTTTGCAGTATAAACTTTATACACTTACATAACGATTCACTTGACAGCAAAAAATTATAAAATTCAATATTCAATTTGTTTTACAGAAATCACCCCAACCAAGTCAGACAAAATGGCATAATCATAACAGTTTTGGCTTCAAGATAAACCCACAAGAAATGCAGGTCAAGATGTAAAAATTACAAATGAAAACTGCTGAGGTACAGTTTGTAGTAGTAGAAGCCATTGTAACAACAACAAAAATTACTTACAATATTGGTAGAGTAAAAAAGCCACATATTTATACCTTCCTCATTGCTTACTCACAACTTTAGCATAGCAAGTGGGTGAGTGGAAGGCTTTTCCTGACAAAAAGCAACATTTATTCTTCTTCACACATCAGTTGGTTTCTCTTCTCATTCAAAACATGTGAAGCTGCACTGAACAGCCACTCGCTCTCCCTCTGCCCCCTGCAACAGTGTTGAAATTTCCGTGCAGTTTCAGCCAAAATGGAAAATTGGCCTTTGTTGCTCTCCCAGTATTTCAGTTTTTCTGCACTTCTTGGAAGCATGGGATCACTCAGATAGCTTTGTTTCTGAAGTGTTATACTTCTGTTTACCCCATCAGTTTATATCCCACAGGGACTTTTCTCCAATATCTCATCATACATTGAACACAAGGACCTCAGTTTTGTAGTGCTATCATCTGCTTCCTTTGCTTTCTTTGTGGCAGGTTCTGTCTGTCCTGTCATTCCCATTGACTTGCATTTTTCCAGGTGTCACCAACATTTGTGTAGCCAGCAGCTTTTTGCTGTTATCAGTAAATATCTGTCCTTGTATCTTGGATCCAGCAGCGTTGCAATGCCATAGAGAGGCTCCGATTCAATTTCAGCAAAGGATGTTTCCATGACTTCCAGCAAAGTAACTTTTATAGATTTAAATCCATGGTCTGAATCTGTAACTTTGATCAAAAGCCTTTTTAAAGCCTCAATAGATGGGATGTCATCAGCAGAAACCAAGGATGAACTCAATTTACATGTTAGTTCTTCAAAAGGTACTAGGTCTACCACTACTTTTTCCATTAGGTCCCCACTGATGTACAGTGAGGGTTGTAGGGATTTCATAGTCAGCCGCATGCACTCCAGGATCACGTTTCTGCTCCAAAAGGCTTTACAGCATGTAGTAAGTGCTGTTCCACCTTGTTTGTGTGTCCCGCTGTAACCTTTTGAAGACATTCGGAGCTCAGGCTGCACCCCTTGAAGACGAGAATAGGCCAGAGAGTGTTTGAAGCGCTCAATGATTTTTCGTCTGATAGCCAGTATATCAGTCACGCTGCACTGTGACAACAATCTTTCATTCACAAGAAGTTGGAGTGTATACACTATGCAAGGTAAACTCGGCAAACTTGAGTCTTGTATTGCCTTTGCTATGTTTCTTACGTTATCCCTAAAAAAGGCATGAACTTTTGTCCTCAAGATTTTCCATGCTGCAAACCTCTTGTCAAATGCCATAGAAATAGCTTCAGCCATGTGGGAACTGCTGAACTCCTGGGCCTGTAGTACTGCCCTCTGTAATATGGAATTCACATCTATCCACTGTGCAGTGAAACTCAGCATTGACATAGGTGACACAACAGAGCTCCAAATATCAGTCATAAAGCTAAATGCTGATGAATACACGATCATCTTCAACCAGTATCTGTATGCATTTTAAAATGACACTGTACAGCTCTGGCAGCACAGTCTCAGCTATAAACTTTCTGCTGGGCAGTGTGTAACGAGGCTCCAGGTATTCACTGAGACAGCGGAATCCAGTATCTTCTACGATGGAAAACATCCGATCATCCAGAGCTATAAATTCCGCTAAATGGTTAGTAATTTCTTAAGCCCTGGCATCTCCACTTCCAAATTTCTGTGAGCGTTTTAGTGCTTTCTGCAATGATCGTTACTCTGGCACAGCTTTTTCCTGCTCTGCCTCTTTTTTCCCTGTAGTCATCTTTAGGAAATCATTGTGTTCAGAAGCTTGGCGCATCTTGAGGTGCTGTATTAAGTGTGTTGTGTTGACATCTTTATTGGTGTTGCCTCCATGCAAAATATTTGCAGTACATACTTTGCAGTCAGCTGTTCTGTTGTTCTTTTCAGACACTTAAAAAAATCCCATACTGCGCTTCTTTAGGACATATTTACAGATGATAGAGATCACATGGTGCAACACAGTAGAGCATAAATCTGTTTACTGAATAAAGGGCTTACTATAGGCCGTCTGCCATCTTGCCCATGCCTGGCCTCACTGCTCTGCATACAACACCTCACAGGTGCCTATACATGAGCAGTGAAGCTGCTTTGACACACTGGAATTCCAGTACGTGAAGCAGACTCAATAATCAAGTCCGCTGGAGTGTGAATTGCCACACTCCAGCAGACTCCAGCGTCTCACGTATCAGCATCCCTGTGCTTAAAAATGGCAGTGGGACACTCGAACCAAAGCCTGTCAAACAAGCATTTGTTCAAGAGCCCCCACCACCATTTCTAAGCATGGGGACACGAATGCAGGAGACACAGTGGCACTTTAAGTAGAGTGGCAGCTCTCAGAGCTGCTGTAAGGTGCCGCCCCTCTAGCGTTGCAGCACATGTAAAAGTGCCTAGGCCAGTTGCAGCAGGCGGGGCTAACCTAGCAGTGCCTGCAACTGGCTGTCCAAAGCCCTTTAGCCCCCTGCCCTTCAACTCCAGTCTGGGGTTAAACACAGCAGTGGGAGCAGCTGCCTCGGCCCCTGCAGTACTGTACTGTACTCACTCCTGGTAGCCACGAGTGAACTTTTAGTATCAGGACCCCCTTCGACAGAGATAATGATGATAATAATAATCAGACAACAGAAAAAAAATTACCATTTTCAGTCCCCCCTTTCTGTCCAGGCCCCAGGTGGCTGCCTAGTTCACTCATGCCTGTGTCTGGGTCTGTGCCCCAGTCATGTCTGCGGCATTTAGTGCCCGGGACACCACAGCAGCTGCTCCAGCCCAGCCCAGCCCACTGGTGAGGGAATGGAAATGTATCCAGGGTCGCCCCAACTCATGGGAGGGAACCCAGGCATCTGGGGGCCCCAGCCAGAAGGCATAATGATCAGAAAACATTCATTGGCTACAACAGCCAAAAAAAGCCGATAGCCAATAACGTACATTTCCGTTTTATCAGTGACAATCCAATAGGCAACCAATATATCGGTGCACCTCTAGAAAATCCTCACACATTCTTATCCATCAAGATTAAATGTTCTCTATTTCCATGTCAAATGCACAAATAAATTATACCCATCTCCATTATCATTTATATATTTTCTCTTATTTTTATTGTACATGTTAAGAGGGTGAAGAAAATATCTTTAAATAAAGATTTGCAAACCTAAAAATGTTTGAAAAATACATTATTATATCATAGAATGACCTTGAAACAAGAGCAGGAACCATCTATGAAGAACCTATATGCTGCATTTGAAATGGTGAGATAACCAAGATGAAAACCCAAGAAAAAAAAATCATGAAGTCATTGGATATTAAAGACAGTTCTCCATACTACAAAATCAAGAAATAACAAACATCTTCCAGGGTTTAAATTCAATGCAAATAAATCAGTTTACAAGAATATGTCCTCCAAGACTGTATGGCTGGAAACAGATGTCACCTTTGTAGCACCTTAAAAGTTTTATGGCAGTACAAAACCCAAGCAAACAGATGCCCATGCTTCTAGTTGCACCATAACTATACATGACAATAGATTTTTTGCATAAGATGTTTGTTTGCTTTATGGCAGGAGAGCACAAGGAGCCTGGAGCTGCCTGCGCTCCTCAGCAGCTCCAGGCAGGAATTTCTGCAGCTTCAGGGGCCTGATCCTGCGCGCCTCAGGAACTCCTCTGCAAGCAGGCCTTCTCCATCCCAATCCTGCACACCCTGGGGATTGCTAGGGCACATGTATTGCATTATAGGGTGTGGTCAGCAAGCGCAGATCAGGGAACCCCTTTAAGAGTTGCCTCCTCCACCCTTGTTGATGTACATCCTAAGAATTCACTTGCAGAAGCATTCCTAGGGCATCCATTTCACACTGCTGGCTTCATGTTTGGGTGAGGCCTGCAAGTGCACTCCAGGTTCAGATGCGACAAAATGAAATGCAAGCAGGGCCATCCCTAGGGGGTGTGAACTGGGGTGACCGCCCTGGGCCCATGCTTTGGGAGGCCCCACAGACAGTCCTATACAGCCCCTGCTGTGGCTGCTACATGTTGGCGCTGCCAAGCCCTACCGGCTCTGGCCACTCACCACCCCCACCACCCCAGGTACCACACAGGCTAATAAGCCCGGGGCCCTACACACCCCTAGTAATGGCTCTGCATGCAAGTCCCAGGAATCCCTGGCAAGGGATTCCCAGATATGCTTTTAAGCTTCTGAATCTTGGGCGAGGGCCAGGCACTCAGAATCATCATCCCACAGAATCAGGCCCCTGAAGCCCTGAGAGCCACAGGGGTTCGACCCCATGAGACAACAGTGATATCTGTTTTTGCTGACAAATTGGATCAGTTGTGCTGGGGTACACCCTAGAGTTTGGTTTGTTAATTAAAACAATCTGTTGATGATTAGGAATTATAAAGGATTATGTTAAAAGGCAAGGCTTTTTATGATATTTGTTTTTGGACCAGCTGTATAGTTGGGAGAGCTGCTAGACAAGTTTTTGGGCATCAGGCCCTGAGGTAGGACACCTGATGCCTAAAAACTTGTTCAACTACACAGTTCTCCCAACTATTGGGAGTTGGTTCAATAAAGGATATCACAAAAAAGCATTACATCCTGGAGCATCACAGCTATAAAAACATCAAACCTACTATAACATAAAGGATTATTTCATTTTATCAGAAGATACCACAAAAAGAATTACAGTCACATAAACATTTCAATGTGTTTTAAAAGACAGGATAACAGGAAATGATTTATAAGTACACAGGGAAACCACTAAATTACAAAAAGAAATCGTCAACTTTTTAATGGACTAATGCATGCTGAAACGTAAAGAACCAATTTGGTCAGTACCTGCCTAAGTAGGACTCCATTGTGCTCCATTCTTCCCCACTTCGGGTTTTGATAAAGCAACATATTGCACTTATGAAAGCATCTGTGATTCTTTGGTAGCTAGATAGTCTAATATGAAGCCAATATATATTTGAATTATAATAAAAAATGCCTTAAATTATGTCTCCACAATATCAAATACATTAAACAAAATGACAGAGCTTTTGAATTTTCTTCTCACCAACCTTACCTCTTAAGATATGCTTCTAACTGCTAACAAAATACACTGTAAAGTAGCTGAAGTTTCAAATTTCTGGAAGAAACTGGGGTGAGATCAGGTCAGGGAAGCCTGCTCCTAAGAATCGTGATGCTCCATTAACCAGAATAAAACCGTGGCATAGCCAGGAATGCTAGAACCAAGAATGATCTGTATTTATGGACCAAGAAGAATGCTGGACTCCATGCTCAGGACTGCTCCTCAGCTGTGTATGCTGTCTAATTTATGGGTTTGGGAACCCTCAAAGTAGGCACAAGCTGGGCTTATATCTAATTTGCATTCTTGGGCTCACACTGGAGGCCTTAGAGATATCAGTGCAGCAAACAGGGGTTGCAAAGATTTGCCAGGTCTCTTAAAAGCTTTTTTATTCCAAGCAGAGTCCTAATCCATGTGCCTAAAAGATACCTTAAACAGAGTTCCCCCCCACCCTGTTCCCCCTCCTCTCCCTCCCAGCTACTTCTGTATACTCTTGTCATATACCTTTGCTCTGATGCTGGTGGGTTCTGCAGTCATATCTGGGAGAGACAAGTCTCATATACCTTTGGCAAGAGACCCTCAGCAAGCAGAGATATTGCTGCAGAACCCACCAGCATCAGAACCCTACAACCACCTGCATCTTTTATTTAATTGTTCAGAAGACCTGGCAGGCCATGCAACCTGGGACGACCAAAGTCTATGAAATATAACACTGAGTCGACAAATTCGAAGCCTTCTGTACACATCTGGGTTTTTGCAGTGCCCAAACCTGGCTAAAAGCAGCAAACAACTTCCTTAACGTTCAGATTTATGGAAGGAATTAAAAAAAAAGTTTGGCACCTCACAAATGTGTATACATCATATTCCAACATGTTCATGTTCCAACAGGATGGTCAATGCTGCAGAAGACAAACGGATGGAAGGAACTGCCAGGATGAACCCTGATACAGAGGAAGCAAAAACATGATTAGCTGTGTGTCTGAAGTCAGGTAGAAGGTGAGGTAGATGTGCACCTTGTATACTAACCAAAGTAGATATATCCCACTACCTGGGTTAGCTTTGGTGAATCCTGTGTTCCTATGGGTTTACTGGTTGTTTGCTTGTCTCTCCCAGCACTGTCCCCCTCCCCACTTCTCTCTCTCTCCCCCCTCACTTGTCTTTTGTATTCTCATTTTCCCTCTCCTTAAACTCTGCTTTCTGCACATCCTTTCACAGTATATGATGAAGTGAGCTTCAGATCACATTAGCTTGCGCTCTGTCTGTATCCCTACTTTGGTTAGTCTATACAGTGAAAATACCCTGCCTTCTAATAGAGGAAGGAACCATACAATCTTACTTTAGAGCTCTGCAACACATAGTTGACAGTGCAAATTAGATGCAACCCCCAAAGGATAGGTCTAAGTATGAGCAAAGGAAACAAAAGGGACAGACGGAAGAAACACAAGTTAAGAGAATCCACAAAAATCCTCTTGCTGCCATTTCATGACATTACATATACCCTTTCACGTATTAAGAATCCTTCAAACCCTTCCTGTTTTCAAATTGTAGGATGTGCACACGTGTGTGCATGTGCCAGTTTTGAGCGATGCACGCTGCCCCATGTATGCTGCCACACTTTTTTTGGTGTGGATTTTTATGATCCCACTCCACGCTGCTTCCTTGCAGCACAGAGAACAGCTGAACATGCAGTGTGGCCCCGCAAATATGTCTAAGGAGCCACATACCGTATGGCCATGCTTGTCTGGACGTGGTCACAGTCACAGAGAAGTGGGGCTGGACGGGACCTCCCGAGTCATATAGTCCAACCCCTGCCTGAGGCAGGACCACCCCTGTCCAAACCATCCCATACAGACCATAATCTAAACTCTACATAAGACAAGCAACTTTCCAATGTAACAGATCAAACAATTGTTTTCACTAACCCCATTCTTAGCTGGTTTAAATTGGCAGCAAAATCCCTCAGAAAGGCAGGCATTGCTATTGCCAAGCAAGTTTATCCAGTTTCCCTACGTGAAAAAACATACCCCAGCAAGCGAATGTTTATGCCAATGTAAGGCTTTGCCAGCTCAGTATACTCCACTTATGGGCAAACTCATGGTGTGGGGAGGCAGGGGAAAGGAAAGACAAAAACACTAGGCACTTTCCTAGAAAAAACAAAAGGGCTTAAGACAAGCAAGAACAACGGTAATTAAAAAAAGTGATCAAATGCTTTGCCAAGGGTACGGTAAAACAACACTGACAAAAACCCATGCCGTACTGTCTGCCTACCGTCCAACCCTCCTAACAACGCCTATGAAAATCTCCCTGGGTCCCTCCCCTCCGTCACATCGACCAGCTCCCTCCACTGGGGACCCGCATCCACCTTCTCCTCACAGGGACCCCAACCGTCACTGCCTCCCCCCTCCCCTCACCTGCCTCCAGAACATTCCACCCTCTGCCACCTACCTCCAGAACATTCCACCCCTCCCCTGCAGCCTTCCTCCAGAACATTCCACCCTCCCCCACCGCCACCTGCCTCCAGAACATTCCACCCCCCTCACCTGCCTCCAGAACATTCCACCCCTCCCCTGCAGCCTTCCTCCAGAACATTATACCCCCCCACCTGCTGCCTTCCTCCTCCAGAACATTCCACCCTCCTTCAAACAAGGTTTCCTACGATTTGTAAATACATTGGTCTAAATGTATTATCAAGCACTGTTGATAGAAGACACTACCATCCTTATTCACACACACGCAAACAAAAGCAAAATTAACCTTTTAATATGTATTTCTACACAACAGGACTGCTATTTTAATGCTGTCATTTTAGATTAAGCCTCAGACTAGTTCTTTTCACATTACTTAACATTTTA